TACAAAGCTTATTTATTTGCTATAAAATAACAAACACAATTAAACTAGAAATTTACAAATTATTTTTATCAAATATCTTGCTTGGCCCCTCCATTTAAATGAGTTTTTTTTTCATAATTAATTAAATATGACACTTTGCGTTGTCATCGCCCATACCTAATTTTATAATTGAATGCACAGATTTCCAAATGCAGCAACAGAAATGTCTGTAGATGTTGCTTTGAGAATGATGCGGAATATCCGGCAGAGATTCAATCCACCTGTACCAGCTTCTTTGGCAGCCATGGGTGAAACAATTGCTTCACAGGAATGGCGTGGACGACTGATGTCATTACTAGATGACAATAACAACAATGCTTTTTTCCAAGGCTCATTAGAGTACCTGATAGGTACAGAATCAATCTTTGGAGGATTGGTTTTTGCAAATCTGCAATTTCTGCAAAATTATGCACCATTCATGAGACAGTCTAAGGTTGTAGCTGTTGATGGTAGTTTGGAGTACTACCAAGAAGTCCTAGCGACATGGATCAATTAGTGACCATACACGTTCTGCTAGACAATATTGTGAGTCTTAAATCTTATAATAATATTCCTTCCAGTTCATAATTCTTTATTTATAAATATCTTTAAAAATCATTTTTTTTTTTTAGTATCATAAAGCTAATATTAAAATTAAATTACAACTTACATTCAAAATAGAAGCAAAATATGATTTCTATTTTTAATACTTATATTAAAAACATTTTTGTTTCAGTCCATCCCTGTAGTCTATGCTATACTGAATCAAAGGACAGAGAACATATATGCAAGACTATGGCAATTCCTAAAGAATGATCTTCCTTTCAGTTTTCTGAATTGGAATAATCTGCAAGTAATCACAGATTATGAAACTGCATTAAGGAATGCAATCAGAAGGGTTGTACCAGAATGTCAGTTGGTGGGGTGCTGGTTCCATTTTAATCAGGTTCTTTATATTTATATTCATAACATAATATTTTGATCATTTCCGAATTTGGTAAACAATGAACTATAATAAATTAAAACTAAATCACCACTAATTTGATAGTAACGCTAATTATGTAATACTACTGTTTAGAATTATTAATTTATTTATTTTCTATAAGTTTAATTATTATGCTAATCGTAACAAATATTGCACAAAAATAATAGTTTGAATAATGTAAATACAATTTTAAATTACAAGATATTATTTTATTTTCAGTGTATAGTGCGCTATATTCATTTTAATCAATTATTTAAATATATCCACAATTTAATGCAACTAGTACGCAACAACCAATATATTGCCACTATCGTCAGAATGGTAAAGATAATTTAATTTAATAATTAATAATTTATTATTATGCAATTGAGAAAAGAATATATTTTATTGACAATTATAGCTGATGGCACTACCACATTTGCCAGCCGAGAGACGCGAAGAATTACCACCCAACTTCAATACTCGAGGGGGATTTTTAGAAATTCAAATATTGGCTAGAAGTATGAGTGTCGACCATCATATTATGGATCTTTTTCGATACGTTCAAAATTATTGGCTGGACACAATTGGACCGGTTGGGTTTTCAGTTTTTGGGTATAGTATTAGAACTAATAATTATTTGGAGAGCTTCCACAGCATGATACAGACTACAATTGGTCAACATCCACCGTTGTGGACTTTCTATGGTAAGTTAAAACATATAAAAAATTAATTAATTCCCAACTAAATTAATAAATTTAAATCATATGATAAATTATACTTACAGATCGCTTACGTTCTGTGGAACGAAGAGTAAGGAGGGAGACACAACAACTTATAAATGGTCACCAGGTAAATATATGACATACATCCATGACAAAACATAGAAAATATGCACTATTTTGTATGGTAAACTGCGTGTTTTACCTAATAATAAAAATATTTGAATATAGAAAAGTATAATATTAATTTAAGTCATTCTATTCCATTAAAAATATAATAACTAGGACTGAGGTTGATATTTTTCTAATTTTGTTTTCATAATGTACATTATCTGTATGAGATAATCAGGGATCTGGGATTAAAAAAAATAATATATTTTATTATATACGATTTACCTAACAAAATATTAACTATTGAAAACAAATGTGAATAAATATAAAATATCATTAAATTTAACATTTGTTAAGACAAATCTTAACTGTTAAGTTAAAAACACTTTTAAAATATAGATAAAGATTGTACATATAAAACAAGTAAAAATACTGGTAAACAAAGAATTTTAGTAAAATAAAAATAAAATTATATTTTCAATTAAAGATAACCATATTATAACTTGCACATTTTAATTAACTTACTTTAAACTAAACTAATTTCAAAACCAAGGAACTTAACCGGTTATAACTTATTATAATAATAACTAAATTACTAATTTTGTTTCAGGTCCGAAGGTCAGTTTTAACCAGCAGGGACACAAACAACAAGTTATTGGAAGGAGCATACCAAAATGTTAGGAATGGACGATTTGACGTCTCAGCATTTCTCAGGCGGGTTGCTTACTCAGCAAGAGGATACTGCGATGAGCAAATAGGCCCCATACCAATGGGTAAATATATTGTTTTTCATTCTTTACAATTATAATAATCTAAATATTTAAAATTAGACAACCAATTAGACCAAAACATGGGACAATTGGTAATGATGCCTCTTCAACCACCACCACCTTTACCGGGACGCATAGGTAATCAAGTCAGAAGGCCAAGAGGTGTAGTAAGGGATATGGGATTACAACCCAGAGGTATAGCTGCTATACCTAATATTAGAGGACGGAGGTGTAGAGGACGTCAGGCTAATCGGATCGGGAGACCTAATAATCAACAAATAAATTGTAAGTAAGAATAATAAGAATAGTTTTTTAAAAAATATTATTTTTAATTTGTATGCATCATAATTTAGTAAGATTTCAACCAGCGGAGGAAATTGAAGGTAGTACATTAATGTCTAAAAAATGAAAAAAATAGTATACAAATATAATATATACATATTTTATGTACGCTTATCACTTAATAGGTATAGAAGAAAATATTGTTGTGGAGACAAGTGAAAATATAGTCAGAGAAGGTATGTTTACATAAAATAATTATTATTATTTATTACCTACCCATAATTAATTTTTTTTGTTAACGAATGTACAGCTTCAACAAGGTAAATAGCCAATAATAATTACAAAATGTACTGCTTAAATTGGTTTATTATATTTTCAATTTATAAATTTAAACATTTAAAAACAGTTGGTTTTAATAAATTTTTTTTTTTTTTAATTTTGTAATACTTAATTTATAATTTTCTATTAACATAATATTATAGAGAGTGAAAATGCTGACATTTTGGTGGTGGACTGGTGGCAATACCACAAATGCCAGGTACCAATATTTATAATTTATAAATTACTATTTTTTTACATAAATCAGAATCAAACATAATTGTATTCTGTTTATTTTTATCAGGTGAAGAATACGACCGTTGCTTTGTGTGGAGGAAGCGACCTCCGTGTCCCGTCTTCCGATGTCCGATCACATTTTTCCCGTTTGTCGTTGTCCGTCTTTCAAGTTTCAACTTTTTCTATTCGCCATTCGGGATTTCTTTGCGACCTCGCGTCTGTTAACTGTTTTTTATTCGTTGGTTCGCCATTTCCCACAACTTATTCAATATTCACGAGCCGTGAGCAGACATTAATGTTAACCTGCATCGTTCGAGTTCTTTTAGTGTGACACTGTGACGTTATCGCCGAGCGCCGATTTTAAGTAATAAGTTGTATAACATAATAATCGTGGTGCCGTCGCCATTGCAGCTACGCGGTATTTTATTTGGTCTATTTGCATTCTTTTTAGGTGCGTGTCCAGCCGTCCGTCCAGGTGTGCGACTTTGGGGACTGGTAAGCTGCCCTCGTGCATAACTCCCGTTTGAGAGTCCCCAGCCACCACCATCTTGTCACGTGGTGTTTTGTGACGGCTGAACGGCTCCCAACCGAATTTCTGTACTTTTGAGGTTAACCGTCGACCGTCGTTTTTTTTTCGTACAGACTACAGGCTACAACGTATCCGCCGTACCCACTACCCACGCGTGTGCCATCTGACATCACTAAATCGTTCGTTTTTCTTCTGCGTTTTGTGGCACTGACGTGATCACCTATTGTCGATTTTAAATCTTTATATTTAGGTATCGCCGTTTGTACCTTACTACCGTCGTCATTCAGCCATTGCCGTGACGCGCTGTTTTGTTTCGTTCTTCGACGCTATTGGCATTCGTTTTAAGTACGTGTTCACTGTTCAGGTGTGTGACTTTGGGGACTGGTAATCTGCCCTTGTGCATAACTCCCGTTAGAGAGTCCCCGGTCGCCACCATCCGTGTCTTGTCACATACTTTCCTACAACCTATACATATTCGCATTCCATTAAAGAACGTGTCCAGGTGTGTGACATCGAGTTATCGGGGCTACCTACACCTGCAGTACGACTACATATTACAGGTAATATAATAACAATTTATTATGTTATAGGTAATATATCACTAGGTACTATGAATCTTTATGTACTAGTTCTATAATAGTAGCATAATAGGTATAATAGTTACATAATAGGTATCATGTAGGTAAGTATACTATATATTATAAGTAAGCAGTAGGCACCTAACATACCTACCAATTTATATTTATTTTCTTTTTTAGCATATTTTGCTTCTTATTTATTTGCACTTTTATTGTTGAATTTTGCTCCTATAACTTCTCATATTACTTAGTACTTTTGACATACATTGATACATTGGTATAAAGATAGTACCTATATTTATTAATAATTGATAATAATTGTACCAAAATTTCTCATAATTTATAATTTCTTTCCACCCCTTTCAATACAATCTTAATAATAATACCTGTACTTAGAACTTACTACAAAAATGAGTAAAAGTGAGAGAACAAAAAGAAGGAAAATTAGGGAAGAAATAAATATACTTCACAATGTGTACCTATTCTCATTCAGCTTCCAGCTCGGCTTCCAGGCATGATATAGGTATAAATAATGAAGTTAGTACTATGCGAGGTACTATAGATCAAATTGAACAGCAGTTAGTGACAAATTGTGTACCTTGCAACAGTGCAGTTGAAATTGGTGAGCCTAGTGTTTTATTTTCACCGTTATCATATGATCATTCAAATGTGGTGACTCACCCAAATCCGAGCCCAAATCAATCAACATCCTTAATTTCTTCTATAATTCCAAGACCAGTGACTCCATCTCATTCTTCTGATAATACTTCAGATTATTCTATTCAACATTTTTTAGCAATGTGGGCAGTTCAGTATAATATACCTCACAATGCTGTTAATGGTTTACTGAAAGGACTAAAGAAACATGATTGTTTTAATAATCTACCTTCTGATTGTAGGACTATATTACAAACACCTTCTAGTGCTTCAAAACATATTCGTAAAGTTGAACCTGGTCTCTATCATCATTTTGGATTAGCTAATGGTATTAAATTGAATTTACCCACAAACGTTTCTGAAGTAAAAATTGCAATAGGTATAGATGGATTACCAATTTCCAAAAGTAGTAGTAATCAGTTTTGGCCGATTTTAGCCTACATTGAAGTTGAGTCTCCATTACCAAAACAAGTATTTTTAGTAGGACTTTATTATGGTACAGAAAAACCACATTGTAGCAATGATTTTCTGTTAGATTTTGTCGTAGAAGCTAATGAACTTACATCCAATGGTATTATGATAAATTCTGTTAAAATTAATGTCATAATTAATGTTTTTTGTTGTGATTCCCCTGCTAAAAGTTTTATCTTGAAAGTAAAAGGGCATAGTGGATTTTCTTCTTGTACTCGATGCAAGATTGAAGGCGAATACATAGATCGTAGAGTATGTTTCCCATGTACAAGAGTGAAATCTACTAGTAGAGATCATATATCCTATATTAACACTCTGGATGAAGATTTTCACGTGTATAACACAATTTCAAATTTAGCAGAGTTGCCCAATTTCGATGCTGTTTATTCATTTAGCCTTGATTATTTACACCTTGTAAATATTGGTGTAATGAAGAAATTGTTAATGCTTTGGGTAAATAAGGGTCCATTGAGTATACGTATTAGGGCAAGAAAAATTATTGAATTATCAGAATCAATTTTGAAACTTAATTCTTACATCACTTCTGATTTTGTTAGGAAGGGTAGAAGTATACAAGAACTTTCTAGATGGAAGGCCACAGAACATCGGTTTTTTTTGTTATACACCGGACCAATTGTTTTAAAAAATATCATTACTGAAGTATGTTATACAAATTTTATGACACTTAATATTGCCATGCTTATTCTTCTAAGTCCAAATTATAGTTTTCTTGTTGATTTTGCAAAGGAGTTACTAGATTTCTTTGTTATGAGTTTTCAAAACATTTATGGGCAACAATTTGTTTCACATAACGTTCATGGACTACTTCACATCTGTGATGATTATTTGAGGTATGGTCCCTTGGATAACTGTTCCACTTTTGTTTTTGAAAACTTCATGAAAGAGCTAAAGTCATTTTTGAGAAAACATGACAAACCTTTACAGCAGGTTATTAATAGGTATAATGAAAAGTATTATATAAATTTAAACAATAGTAATAAAGATACATTTAAACAATTGCTAGAAGAAAAACCGGTACTAAAAAACAACATACTAATGGCCCATTACCAGACAATTTAAATGGTCTTGAATATTATACTCTTTTATACAAAACTATTAAAATTAAAATTCAAGAAGAAAAAAACAGTTATATTTTAACCAAAAATAAAGATATCGTAAGATGCTTAAATTTTTGTTTAAGAGATAATGGTAATATAGTAATAATTGGCCAACAATTTAAAATAAAATCAGCATTATATGAAAGCCCTATTAACTCAACAATATTAGATATATTTGTTGTACAAAAACTATCTAAAAAAATTAAATGCTGGACTGAAGATGACATAAAAAAAAAAATGATGATATTTGTTCATGATGGCAAGTACATAGCCATGCCAGTAATACATACTGACATCATTTAAAACTAATTTTTTCATTTATGTATTTATCATTTAAATTTAAGGGATTTGCAACACCAGCATTTATTTTCTATGTCTATCTTGCACATAATATATAAGATTAAGACTGGTTTAGTTTAGGTCAAATAGGTACCTATATATTATACCATATTCTACATTTTATAAACAATGTGTTCTGTGCATTGACTGGATAGTTTCTTAATATTTTAATCTTTTATCAAGATAATCTCGTTTTAAATTAACTTTATTTCTATAGTGTTTAACTTACCTAATATCTTCTTTAAAAATTTAAATATCGAACAACCATCTAATAAATCAGTAAATTTTCCTTAAATTAAACCAGATACTCACAACCATGGAAGTAGGTATGTAATAAATAATAATACATTTGTTGCTTTATTATGTGCGGGACAGACCGAAAACAAATGTTTGGAGCACTTTCAATCAGATACACATTTAAAATATTGTAATACCTATTAAAGCATTATTAAATTGTAAAAATTGTTTTTTTCTTTTGATCTTAAATACCTACGACTCTGCAGCATAGGCCATTAGTTTGTAAAAATTAGTTAATAAATATCAGTAAATAATTTAATTCTTGATTATTTAGATAATGTTTGGTTGGAATATTGTAAACTTCACTGAGGACAATACGGTGTCAGTTGTACCTGACATATGGTTAAAAAAAATACTTGTGCCTGGCCAAAAAATCAAAAAAACTCTCAAAAGATTATCGAAAGTCGAGTAAAGCCAAACCATAATGATTTTTATTTTTACAATAATGAACGAAAAATGTCTGCAAAAACATATAGTTAGTGAAAGACGATAGTACATTCCTTATTTTGTATTAAAAAAAAAAATCTATTTGTATAATTACATAATATATTTACTTTATAGCTTCTTTTGATAAAGCCAAATCAAAATTACCCAAAGCCATGATAAAATCAGATATATCATGTACAGAAGATGAAAATTTTAACCAACCAAAGTATGATTTAAAACGCAGACTATCTCCTAAACGCAAACCGTTCAAAAAAGTAAAACTTAACTCAGAAAATCTACATTCAAGTTTGCCACCTCAGTATAATCCTGTGAAAGGTATATAATATATTATCCACTATAATATGTAATATTATTTTTATTTTTCAAGTTAATAATCGTTTTTTGTTTCAGATATTATTGGTTCAGATTCATTTGAATCGCATTCTAACGTTAATCAAATAGCCGATGATTCTGACAGTGATAGTTCTAACCTTAGCATTTTTGATGATTCTGATAAAGATCAAACATGGACTGTGAAACAAAAAAACAATTTGGAACAGGAATTTGGTAATGCCAGTCATATCAATTAATACTTTAAATACTTTTTATCTTGAATATTAATATATTATTAACTTATTAAATAGTTTATGTTATGTGTACCTTAGTACCTATAGTAAAGTGATAATTAATTTTAGATGTAACATCTCCATTGAAAGTTACACCGAACAAATCAATTCCAAGTCCTAGTATTGTTATAACATCGCCTAGTGGACCATGGCGAGTAAGCACAGAAATTGATATTAACAAAAGCCATACAAATAATTTTGATAAATCTAAAGCTACTAACAAGTTATATCTAACAGAATTTAATAATCAAAATGATTCAACAATTAATAACAATTCTGTTAAGCGCCAACTGCAATATCCTGTTGAAAACCAAAATATGATATCAGGTAACATTTTAGTTTTTCTATTTACTTACCATTAACAATAATGTGCACGTGTTTATTATAAAGATGATTAATGTATAAAATGGGGAAGTAGCTCTGCTAAGTAGGTGTAGGAGGTAGATATTTCATTGAGTAGGTTACTGTAATGAGAATAATAAATTTGAATTCAATGAAACCGACCTATAGGTACTATAAAAAACAATTTTGAGCGAAGATGGTATTACAGTCTAGATAATTTCTATTTGTAGTTTTATCATTATTGAAATTTTGACTGGTTTGAGTTAAGTTGTGTACTTACTTAGCTACTTACATATAGTTCTATATTTAATTGTAAATTCGTGATAAAAACCTGGGAATTAACTCTGCTGTATTGTAGGTGTCTCGTGTACCCCTTTAGTCATTATTATAATGGATGTATTAAATTTATATTTAATAAAAACTAGATTTATTAGGTATACAATTTGTTAAATTTAGTTATTAAATAATATCATGTTACGTGTCTTAAACTTTTAACTGGGTTTTTTCCTTGGGTATTCTTTCTGTAATTGGTTAAAACTATATGTTACTATCAAACTAACTAAAATGCAAATAGATTTATTTAATATTTAAAATAATATACCAATCATTTTTATATTTTACAGATTTTTATAACATATCGCTTACATCTTTCTCTTTCTTGAAATACGAAATTCAAGCATTAAAGGTTTTATGTCACTCTATAAATGAAAATATTGAAAAAATTATGAACAACTCATCAGGAACAACTATAATATCTGACGGTGTAGACATAGAATCATTGTTTCCTATAAAAAGTGATGAAGACTTATTGATGTTGCATAACAAAATTCAAGATAAAGAATTCAGAAAATCTTTGGTAATTATTTAATATTTCAAAACATGGTTTCATTGCTATAATAACTACATTAATAATTTTTTTTATTTTTTGATCCACCAATAGGTTAGTAAAATATCTTTATTTGTTGGAAAGAAAGATATTAGAAACAGTGTTAGAAGAATTATGGGTCGTATGTTTGATGACACATTTTTGGCTAACTATTCTTTATATGGTTTTAAACAAAAAAAATCATTTACAAATTTGGCTTGCTACCATTTGATTATAGGTAAGCATAAATTAATTGTTTATTATTTATATTGAAAATATACCACTGTTGATAATTAGTCATTTAATTAGTCATTGCAATTAAAATGTCTGACTTATACCAATAACTCAAAAAAATGTCATATTATTAGTATACCTATTAGTATAGGCTATAATTTAATTTTTCACAAAACAGGCAGATCTTAAACGATTATAATAATATGCATATGAAATAAAAATAATTTAATTACTTCTTATTCACTATCAACATTTTGGTGGGAAAAACTATGTCCCCCCCCCTCCTCCTTGGACACTGTTTAACAATATCATTGTTATTATACATACAATCTATTAATTATTGTAAAAAATTTTTGTTTCAGATGCATTACGACTACACATGAAATACAAAACACACACTGACAAAGAAATAGATGAACCGTTGGGAATTTGGCTCTCACATGCTCCTTACAGACTTCAAGCAACTACTAAAAATAATTCAAAAGAAAAATTAATTTAATTCATTCATTCATAAATTGTACTAGGTTCATTTTTATATTAAAATTAATATGGAATTATTATTATTATTATGAATTTTAATAGTAAATTGTGCACAATACACATTTTAGTAAACAGTATAATCATTTTTTATTCTAGTTGCACAAAACTGTGCTAACTTCTAGTTTCTACATATTCTTTTACATTACGCTGAGCACCAGATGCTGTATACATATTAATATAATAAATAATGTCTTATTTCTACAAACACTGTATTATTTTATAAAAAGGTTTATAACCAAGAACAAAAAAATATAATGATCGTGTATAATGGTATATTATTGATTGGCCTGTTAACAGCTAATAACAGTCTTACAAATTCATTAAGTTGTTTTATATAATTATATTGTTCACTCAAGTATCAATTATAATATGTATCTCTAATATACAAAATTGTTTCATGAATTCATAAACTAAAAACCAAAATAGTTTGAAATAATAAGATTGTAAAAAATAACTATAGTTATATAGACTATAGTCAGGTTGGTTGGTGAGCGAAGTGAGCAGGGGAAAGAGCCACTATTATATATAAATATAATATAATATACATGATTATAAAATCAAGATTTTAATGTTAATATAACATCTTTTGATACTATTATTTAACATTTTAATAATGTTTCAATAAGTTGGGCTTAACATTATAATAATATTATGTTAAAATATTAATAGAACAACATTTCCGCGGCCAAAAAACTCTAAGAGAATGTTATAAAAACATTATAAAAGATTCTTAGAACCATCTGGAAATGTTATAAAAACAACAATGTTATTTTTTTAACATTACTGTGATATTTTAAGAACGTAAATTTGCTATCTGGGTGGTAAATAAAATAATCTATAAATGTGATTGAATAATATTATTCGTGGGTACTTGAAACTTCTAAAGCGGTACTATTATATATCTGTGGCGGACCAATGCCACATGACCTCCCTCTGCCGTCGGTAGTACTGTATATCTTGATATTGTTCAACGGTTGGTCACATTGCGATCGCGTCTAGCGTCGGCCTCCGCTTGGTTGCGGCGGCCGACCCGCCTCTCTCTCGTTCTTACCGTTGCTCCGTACGCACGTCCGTAGGATTTAATAAAAAAGTAATTAAATAAACCACGTGCTCTTTTTTCGCCGCTCGCGTAGTTCGTTCGTTCTTTTTCCAAAACCGCCGCACGAAAACGCACGTGACTAGCCGCTCACCTCCGAGCACCGATCGACTCGATCTGTTCGCTTTTGTTAAGTTTTATTGTTTGTCTGTAATAAACCGCGCATCGCGCACCTCACACGTTATACGCGTCTTTGT